CGCAGCGCTCCACAGGCGGCCCGAACTCCGTCTCCGGATCCTCCTCCGAGCCCGACGAGTTCCAGCTCTGGTTATCCGACATGGAGGCGCGACAGGCGAGCAGGAGACCGGCCCCTGCTCCGTGAGCTGCGCCGGAGGCGGCGCCTAGTCCCCGGGGTGAAAAAGGGGGAGGAAGAGGGAAGAGAAAATCCAGCGGTATACACCCGGGTCCACTCACACCTCCGCTCCCGCCGCCATCTTCCTGCCTGGCCCACTATTTACCGTCCCCTCCCTCTTCCCTCCTCTTCGTCCTCCCATTCTCCCCCGGCTCCCCGCCCCGGCCCCCTCCCAACGTCTGACGCTGCACGTCGTAGGCTTGGGGTCCCTCCAGCACCCTACCTCCGGCCCTCCCACGTGACGCCAGAGAGAGAAGGAGGCGGAGCGGAGGAAGGGGGAGGGATGGGGACGCCGCTGTACTGCATTCTGGGAAAGACCAGCTCCGACACCCGCGTGGCCTCCTGGGAGTTGTAGTCGCGATCGTGAGTCCACTGGTGAGTGTTTGGCGTCGGTCGGGCTTGTCCTGGGGACGGTCAGGCAGTGGATGGGCTTCGTGGGATAATTGCGTGGCCGGTTCCCTCCGCCGCGCTTCTCTCTCTGTCTAGCGTGTTTATGACGAATCCGTCGGGCTTGCGGGGCGGCCGAGAGAGAACTCTCCGTTGAGGATGCCGGGCCTGCCTTCCATGGCGGCTTCCCGAAAGCCGGGGAGCATTTTGCTGCTTGCCCGGGCAAGTGTGCGGGACTCTTCCGCCTCCACCCAGGGCCAGGGGTTTGCCATCTCCAGCGACAAGGGGGTTTCTTTCCGCCAAACTACCTCTGCAAGTTTTGAAAGCCCTTCTCGCTCTTTAGAAATTAGACTTCACACTTGACGTTTCCCGCCTTCGAAGGAAAAATTTTCAGTTCCTTCTCACCAGAGCAAACACTTCACGTTGTTAGATTTCCAAGAGTTTTACTTTGTGGAGAGTAATTTTGAAGATGTCAGAGAATAAATCACGTTGTAAGAGTTTTTAAAGTAAAATAAGAATGTGAAGTAATCGCCTGGAGTTTTTCTTTAGTTGCAAATGAGCATCTATCTCCCTGAGACTTAGGTTAACCATCTCTGCCGACCTACCGCTCTCTGAAAGACAGAGAAGGTTGGTATAGAAACTTTATTGTAAGAATGACCCATGTCATATAGCGTCTAAGTGGCAGAGCTGGGATTTGAATACAGATCTCTATTATTTACAAGATGATACCCTTTTCTTTGCTTCAGAATACCTTTATAAAAAGAATTGTGTAAATAAGTAATGTATTCTATGGATAAATATATCGGAGTAACTATGTTTTTAATTTCACGTAATGATTTGAACATCATTTAGTTATGCTGTCCTATTTAATCCCAATGTAGAATTTATTATTTCTATTCTATTTCTATGTCTGATATTTCACATGAAGAAACTGGACCACAGAGAAGTTAAGTAACCTTCCGAAGGTCATACAGCTAGTAAAGAGCATAGTTGCAGTTTGAGCCCAAATATCCTGATTCCAATTCTCATTACCATCCCACTAGAGTTCTTCAATTCCTCTTCTATCTCCCTATCTTCCACCTCCTCTTTTATCTCCACTAAGTATCAATTCCAAAGCCTGCACCCTGGCCCTCTACTCCCCCTGTCAAGACAGAAGCCAAAAAAAAAAAAAAAAACTAAAACCAAAAAACAAACAAAAAACACCAGAGGTGCTGGAATTGGTAATGTTTGTAGTTTTACTGATCAGCAGGTAGAGGAATGAAGGGGAATATTTATTTGTTTCTGATGCTAGAAGTATAGCAGGAGAGGATATCCCAAGTTGAAACTGAGAACACTAATTTTATAAAAAAATAATGCTATATGATAAAAGGGTAATATTGCAAATCGACCGACCGGCAGAACGACCAGTTGCTATGATGCACACTGACCACCAGGGGACAGACACTCAATGCAGGAGCTGCCCCTGGTGGTCAGTGCACTCCCACAGGGGGAGCGCCATTCAGCCAGAAGCCCTGAGCTGGCAGGAGCGGGCCTAAGCCATCAGTTGGACATCCCTCGAGGGCTCCTGGACTTTGAGAGGGTATAGGTTGGGCTGAGGGACACACCCCCCCCCATGCACAAATGTCATACACTGGGCCTCTAGTATCCTATATAATAAAGAGCTAATATCCTAATTAGACTGAACAGTAGAACGACCATCCTGATGACCTTCCAGACGAAGCTGGAGCTGCGAGGGCCAGCTGGGGCTGTGGGATTGGGCCTAAACCGACAGTTGGACATAGCACTCACAATCCGGGATTGCTGGCTCCCAACCGCTAGCCTGCCTGCCTACCTGATTGCTCCTAACTGCTTCTGCCTGCCAGCCTGATTACTCCCTAACCACTCCCCTGCTAGCCTGATCGACGCCTAATTGCTTTTCTGCCAGCCCAATTGCCACCAACTACCCTCCCCTGCTGGCCCAGTCACCCCCAACTGCCCTCCCCTGCTGGCCCAGTAATCCCCTGAGAGGTCCTAGATTGGAGAGGGTGCAGGCTGGGCTAAGGGACACCCCCCACCCCACCTCCGTCTCTCAGTGCACAAATTTCATGCACCGGGCCTCTAGTATTTATACAATTTAGTCCTTATAGTTTCTGTATTTCCATAGTATTTTTTATGTTAAATATGTGTTTTGAGTTAAGTAGTCTTTTTTAACTAATCCAGGAATTTAACTGTTTTTTTTATACTGCTTTTCCAAACTGAAATGTAACTGAGTTAAAAGTTGGGGGTTTACATAAGAAACGTGATTTTGCAAACTTAGAAATAGAAATACTCATCTATGAAACAGCTAAAAATCCATAAAAAGCAACAGTCTAAAAACTAGAGTACAAATAAGCAAAGTACAGCATGTGAATAATACAGCTGATTTTTTTTTTGGCCCTATTTTAATGTTTTGAATAATCTGGATGGTGAAATTATGAGCTATTTGAATTTTTGTCTTTATGCTATTTTGTATGATGAAAAGAATATATAGGTATATGTGTGTGCATGTGTATATGTATATGTATCACTTGTGGTAGAAGAAAAGGTAATTATAAGTGATATTAATTAGGTAAGAATTAATCTCTTTTTTTAAATCCTCTCTCAAGGAGTGATGGTATTTTTTCCATTGATTCTAGAGATAGAAGGAGCGGGTGGAGGAGAGACTGAGAAACATCTACTAATATATGACAGAGACATATGAATTGGTTACCTTCTACATGTGCCCCCACCAGGGGCAGAGATTGGACCTGTAACCCAGCTACATGCCCTTGACTGGGAATCCAATCTGCCACCCTCTGGTGTGCAGGCCGATGCTCTAACCACCGAGTCACGAGGGCCAGATCTAGTTAATCTCTCCACATTCGCAGTATTCTAAATTAATTTTTAATTTCGAGTTGTTAATGTCCCTGTGTTTGTATACATTCAGGATCAGGATAATTGATGATTGCAACATTTCTTAAGAATGCCACAACATTGTCTTCAGAGTGTTTTTCTCCAAGCTGCTGACACCAATTCTTCATGTTTTGATGCATAGGTAATGACAATTATGTCACAACTGCTACCTTACTGACAAGGATTATGTGAGACATCCCAATTTTAGTGATGTTAAAATGTGAAAAGCCCTGGCCCGGTGATTCAGTTGGTTGGAGCATTATCCCCTACACCAAAAATGTTTCGGCTTCAATTTCCAGTCAAGGCACATAACTAGGTTGCTGGTTTGATCCCAGGTGGGCGCACATACTTGAGGCAACCGATTCATGTTCTCTCTCTCTCTCTCTTAAATCAATGAAAACATATCCTTAGGTGAGGATTTTTTTAAAAGTAAAAAATGTGTGTCTCTGAAGCAATGAAATATGGTTCTTGCTTTTCCTTTTTAACTGTTTCCTCATTTTTTTCCCTGAGAGCACTATTTATGATTTTCAAAATATACACATGCATGTGGAGAGAGAGAGAGAGAGAGAGAGAGGGTGACCTTCTTTAATGTAGGTGATTCACAACACAGGTCTCCTGATCTGGCCCCTATCTGCCTGCCTTCCCCTCTCAGCTCTGTTCGTATACCCCAAAATGCCACTTCTGCTCTAGCAATACTGAACTACTTGCAGTTCCTTAAGTATGTTGTGTATTACTATTGTCTGTTACTGTATTCCCTCTTCCTCTATTCCTCCTCTACCATAGCAATTGTTGGCGGCAATGATGGGAATAGTTGAGGAGGGAGCAGGTGAGAAGTAGAAGCTGGGAGAATAATAAGCTATAATGGAACTTTTGTAACATGCCTTACATCCTGTTTTACTTGGCTCAAAGGGATAGAGAAGAGAAGCTTATGTTATGCCTATTAATAATTGTGACTTCAATCCTGTTTCCCACCCCAGCATTCCAAGCACCTCCAATCTTCTCACCATTTTTTCAGGTCCTGTGATTTGTATTTATCTCCTGGCCTCGAATCCAGACTTGATTTCTTACATCTCAGCCTCATATTTTTATTATCCTCCAAGGGGTATTATTGTGATTCTAAATGGTTAGCAGCATTAAGTTAGGTTATCCATTTTATGGAGATGGATATTTAAGTAGGCATGGCCATATTGCTTGCTTGCTTCTTCTTTGTTCTGTTCCTAATCACCAACCCTCCATTTGGAGTGAGAGACTCTTTAATTACTTCAATTATTATTGTACTAGAGGCCGGGTGTACAAAATCGTGCGCAACTGTGGTCCCTAGGCCTAGCCTGCGATCAGGGCCATCCCGTCACCACCCATCCCGGTTCCCTGTTCGCCATCAGCTATTGGAGCCTCCAGGCCAGGAGGAACCAAGAGATTGGCCGTTCGGCCTGCTTGCCAGT